GAAAAGAAGGCTCTGGAGCAGACAGAGTAGCCTTTTGATACCTAAGAAAGACAGAAAGTGATTTTGCACCAAGGTCTGCAGTGACAGGACAAGGGGCAATGAGGGCAACGATTTTAAACTGAAATAGGGTAAATTTATATGGAATGTAAGGAAGATATTTTTTGCAATTAAGATAGTGAGGCACTGGAACAGGTTACCCTGAGAAGCTGTGGATGCCCCACCACTGGAAATGTTCAAGGCCAAAGTTGGATAGGGCTTTGAAAGTTGTCCCTGCCCATGGAGAGAGGTGGGACTAGATGAGCTTTGAAGGTCCCCCCTCAACCCAAACCATTGTTTATTTATATGACTCTTCTGTAAATGCAAATGATTTAATGTTTGAACCGTTAAATTTTAGTCAATAACCACATGGTAATTTTTAAATTGACCACGATTTCAAGCCCTTTATCATCATTGTTTGTAAGGCAGTAGAATGATGAATGGCAGGGAGACTAAATGGGGTATGCTGCCTTCTTGACACCCAAGTCCAAACAAGAGAGTGGATTTACACCATAGAGATCTCTCCCCAATAGCAGAAGAAATATGGACTCCATATACTGTAAACAAAACATACCAATAGTAATTTTTCAAAAGGAGAAACCATGATTTTATACTTTAGCACTGAGACAAATTTTCCAACTCTATGCTAGATATTAAAGATATATATTAAATCTCTAATTTTATTTCTGTTGTTATTTATACTTTAAATCAATTAATATATGGTTTAATATAGTATAATTAGATTAGACAGAGACATTAAAGAAAATCCCATGCCTCTAATTATTAGAGAATGGCGCTGTGAGTTAAGCATGCCTTGTAGCTTGCAATTTTCAAATATCAGGTGCAGCAAATGAACATTGTTACGGCTGCCTGCTGGCTAGGGCAGCAAGAGCTTTTCTCAGCTAGAAGCTATTTCTCCACAGAGCAAATCCTTCTCTTCCTATTGCGAAATATGAGAGGAAATAAATAGGTCAAGCTCGTGGTGCTACAGCACTGTGAGCTGGGAACCACAAATAAAATTAATTCAAAACAGTTAAACAGAGACGTTTGAAATATTAATAATACGTATTCCTCCTATTTTTCCATTTTTTCCTGCTGTTTTTCCTGCTACGAATACTTCACTGTGCTGAGAGGGAGCGTGAAAAGAAACAGCACCAAGAACTGATTAGCAACCCTACAATGACAAAACAGCAGCCTCACAGGAAAAAACAAAATATTATCTGATATTAGTTTCCATGGGAGCATTAAGAAAAACTTTAAGTTTTTTTCTTATAAACTCGAAAATTCAGTAACACTATTCCTTTTTAATTAGCTAGTGTAATTTACCTCCCTGCTGAGTCAAGAAAAGGAAGACAAATCTATCTGTGTGCTGGATCCTTTTCCCAGCTCTCCTTGCACAGTTGGCTAACTACAGCAAAGACGTACTTACAAAAAAGTTTTATATATGTAGTCACAATAATTAGAACTCTTACACTGTGTTTCCAGACATCATTAGAAAAAGGAGCAAAAAATTTTGCATAGAATATCTTTATCCAGACTCGGGGAAATTAACTGAATTACGTGGCACAACATAAAGTTTCTATTCACAAAGCAGTTGGTAATTTTTCAGCCTTTACAGCTCCTTTGTGCTCCTTTGTTCAGTGGTGAAAAAGAGATTTAAGCAGGTAATTTGAGTGGAGGTAAAAAAACATTTCTGCACCCTGTTGTAAAACATTTGATTTAGTCCTGACAATGGAAAGGGGTCAACAGACCCAGGCATTCACAGGTTGCATGGCCTCAAGCAATTAATTTCTCCTCTTGCCTGATATTTTTTAATGATATATCATGCCACATACATCATTCTTTGCCAAAAAGAAGTAAAGGGAATGGGGGAGAGGTGGTGGGGAGGGGTACATATCCTAAGTAGCCATTGCCTGGGAATCAGCTGGGAGTCACATCTCCTGGTGGGAAGTGATGAGGAATTACCTCTGCACTCCTTTTTCCTTTTCATTCTTCACTTACTCAGCTTGACCCAGTTTTTTAGCCTTGCTTTTGCTCTTTGGATTTTTTCCCTGTGCCATTGTGGGGAGGGAGTGTGAGGATGGGTGGGGACTCACCTGCCAGCCAGGGACAACCCACCACAGCCTCAAGCTGTTGTGGGCCATGGACATGCATTTAGAAATCCTTGCTATAGGCTTGCTCTATTCTTCTGGCTTGCTATATCTGGTACATCTTTATCTGTTTTGCACATTATTCAGAGACAGACTACAAGGCTGTGAACAGCTGATCTTGTCCAGCACAGACATTTTATATTCTTATATATTTAATCCAGTAACCCACCCGTATGACATTGCTTGATTTCTCTCATTATTTCACAATTCTTTTTCACATGCTGGTGTTTTTCAATAGTGGGTGAAGCCTGGACTAGATCCCGACTTCAGGATCTATCAAGATCAGCTTTTCTTTATATAGAAAAACATGTCTTCCTTATGAATGCCTCACAAGCCTTTCAAAGCCAGATTCAGAGGAGCTTCAACAAATTTATGGGGAGTCTTTTAACACAGTGCTAGGCACTTCGAAGAAATGAAATTGCTCCTCATTTTCAATGGAGTTTTACCAACGAAACCTACCTCCACCTACACTGTATTCAGCAGGGACTCAGGCCATTACTGCAAGAATATCCAGTCACTTTAGTATAACTCTGCTTTCCAATTAGTTTTATAGACACAGTCACGCACATGTTCACTTGCTTTCCCTCATTCAGAAAATTTCTTCTCTGCAGAGGATGGGCAGCTTCAGAATTGTCAAACACTTGCTTACCTCTGTATACTCTTTCTGTAGCTTCTGATACCATGGCTGGTATGGTGGCGTTATCCTTCAGTGACAGGCAGCAAGGTGCCAATCTGCATAAAAACATTTGACTCCAAATCTCTTTTAGTGTGTTCTGACTCCAGTTTCCCAGCAGGCATTGAGAGCAGTAAACCAACCTGATTAGTTTATAAGCTAGCTGGATTGTCCACTCTCACAACCCAAAGTTGCATCTATTATCCACAGCTGTCCATGAAAACTACCCTGTAAATCAGGGAGAGAAGAATGGATGACTGACTTGTCCTCCCAGTGTGTATGTGAGACTAAAGAGACTCTACAGACTCAGACCATGGTCAGGTTTGGTACTTAACTCTGCAGGGAAGTTCTTGGACATTATGACATTTTCCCACCATCCCTCCCTGCCCAGCAACCCCTTGAAGACTAAAGGTCTGACAGGAACACTCACAAAGAAACTCCAGGAGAGCTGGGAAGATGTGAGGCTGTCTCAAGAAGGACCAGCACCTGCCTATCTGCACTGATGAAGGTCTGTACTGAGACATCCACCAAACTTGAAGCACTAGTTTAACAAAGATATTGGATGTAAGGGTAATGCATTTCTGAAGGCAGCCTTGAGCAGTCATACTCAGTGGACACACACATGCTGGTAGAAACTGGCCTTATCCTAACAGCAGTATTAAAACTGAGATAATCAGGCCTTTGTTAGAGAAAGAAATAACCCTGAGGTTGTTGCTGGGTACCTGAGCAAGATGTTTTCCCTTGTGCTTATACTGCCTAAGAAGGTTCAAAGCAGACACAAAGTAGGTGGCTCTGAGACCTGGATTCAAGAGGACAAATTTAGTTGCAATGCTTGGATCTAGATTTGCACACACAGAAATGGACAGAGGTTTATGGTCTCTCCTTCACAGGATGTGTCTGAATTTCAGTACCTTCTTAGAAGAGGAACTTAAAACTCCAATTGAATCTGTGATTGTTTCAAAAATGGAATTAATAAACCCAGAACTTAGGGGTGGAAACAGATCTAGAACAAAAACTCTCATCTGTCTGATGGAATTGGTATAGACAAACCACTTGAGGACACAGTTACTGTTAAGTATCTGTATGAGACTTCAGAGGACATCAATTGCTCCTATGATTGAAGAAGACGCTAAATATTCCAGAGGAGGCACCCAGAAGAAGAGGATGCATGTAGAAGACATATTGTAAAAGACATGGAGAACTATCAAAGTAGGCTGGGAATGGAGCTGGAGAAAGGGGAAACTAGTCATGGGCATTATAGGTTGTATGGTGATCCCAAACTTCCCTACTTCTCCCTCAAGAGGAGTAATTGAGGGAGAAGAAAGAGGAGTCAGAGGATAGAACAACGAATTAAATTTCTTACCTCCTTGTCCTTTAACTTCTTGTCCTTACCTGGATATAGCAAAAGAGCTTGAAAAGTGGTGAGGCTGCTCAGCTGAGAAGGATTCCTGGCTGGCAAACACCCTTTGGACAAACTGCTGGTTGCTGCTTAGTTGGCAGTGTGAGGCACAGTGCCCTGCACAACAAGACCAAGGAAACTTGGAAACCTAGGCATACCTGCCACTGTTTGTGGCAGATGTATGCCAGAGCTTTTTTTGGGTGAGCACAACACCGTGACCTGGCACAAGGTACCTGCTTCATCCCCTCCTGCCATGTAGGAGACAGGAGCGTAGATATTTGAAAGTGGAAGAGAGGAGAAAGGCTCCTGGGTCTGAAGGGGATTTTGAATTCCTGAGGAGAGAAAATCTAAAGCAACCCCACATCTAGGGCAGAGATGAGCTGCAAACTTTCAGGGGCTTGGGGAGATGATATTAGAAATAAACATACCTCCCAAGTGACGAGAAAGAACGGGTAAGGATTTGCTACAATATTCTCATATCCGAGAATAGGGGCCTCTGAAAAGGCATCCAATAATTTTTAAAGAACAAATGTAGAGTGGCAAAATGATGTTCCCTCCAGCCAACTTCAAATTATATATGCTAGTTACTCAATCCTACTGGATTACTTAGTAATATTGAGAAATTATGTTTGAGGGGCTGCATGAATTGGACTGGGAAGCCCTTTTCCATGTTTGAAGACCATAATTGTTATAGCTTTAAATGCTATTCAATTTAAATGTTATAATGTTTCACAATCATGTATTTAAACACAGAAATCTGTTTATTTACCCAAACAAAACAGAGGAAATGATTCCAGCCCTCAGGTTTTGAATTCTCATTTAAATATGTGAACATCAGTCCACAACTTAGAGATGTTTGTGTATCTATGTACCTCCAAAATACTCATATTTCATAGGCTTTTTCACATTAATATTCACCAACAGTATCACAAAAGTTCTTTTTCTTTTACATAACTGTAAGCAACAGTAATTCTAGAAACACTAGAGAAAAAAAAAGCATAGCAATGTCCACAGTTACAAGAAAAAGTGCACATTACTTGGTCACAATCACAGTCATTACTTGGAAAACTATATGTAACAAGTAGATATAAAATATCACTGATGCCTTAAACTCATCGTCAAAAACGGAATTACATAAAATTTTGTACATGAAATAAGGCAAATTTAGGAATGCACAAGAAACTTGTTATTCAACAAAAGCTAAACAACAGAACAGATAGTACAATAAGCATAAACTAAAGTACCTTTTTCTATATATTTAAAAAGAAGCCTGCCATAGTGCACAAAGAAAACACCATTAATGTGTAATCAATATTATAAAATAAGAAATAGAGGGGTTGGGAAGAGTGGGGAAGGGGAGAGAAGAGTTTTTTTATAGTTGCAGCTGCATCCACTTATAGTCTTGTACAGGTTTTAGCTAGGCCTGGGAATTATACAAATTATATCAGAAGTGTCAATGACCTTCCTTGGTAAGAATTTTGCTTAAATTAAGGAAAAAAATAAATACACACAAGAGTGCAAATTTTCAGATTGTCACTTGCAACCTCTTAACATTCATCATCTACATCCAATCACAACTAGAGGGACTTGTATAAGACAGCAGCAGTGATCATGGAGTCAGATGAGCTCACTGTAAGAAATCAAATCATCTTTTTTTTTTCTCAACGATATGTCTTTTTTAAAAAACGCTCAACTCTTTATTAATTGCTAATAAAGCTGCAATATATTACAGAATGGAGTTGAGAATGGCATGAATGCAGGAAATGCATACTTCCTTTGGAAGGTATTCCATAGATGACAATTTACAGTACACAGGGGAGGAAATTATCCAGCATCAAGAGTTACTCGTTGTAGAAAGAATATGAAGTTGGGGAGAAGGGCACAGCCAGGGATTCAAGAGAGGAAGGGGGGACTTAAAATAGCTCCTCAAAACATTTTCAGGACCAGTGAAAAAGTTTACCAAAGTAAAAATGAAAAATCTTGAATGAAAACAAAAATCTTTTGTTTCGTTTTTTATAAAAATTACATTTTTTTTTAAAATACAAGATCCTTTTCATTGCAATTGTGCCCTGTAGCAACAGGACATTTGGCAATGTTTTGCCATATACTGCAGCTTTAAGTCCAATGAGTCAGTATCACATTCCACTAATATTGCACTTGGATCTTGAACCACTTGTTTTAAAAAACCATCACAGCATCTTCTGTTTCCTCCACTTGTTAGAATGAGTTAATTTCTAGCCACTTTTTCGATATTTATGCTGACACACTAAAACAAAAGCAATAGGCTGGACACAGTAAAGTACCTCGGAAATACCAGAGGTCGAAGTTCACTTGAAGCACCTTAACACATCACTTTATGGATCAAGAACAGTGTGGCATTATGGTAATTAACTCTCCTAAAAGACTGTGCAGTAACTGAAGTGTGTGCTCTGGGAAATCAAAATGTCATTAGTGGAAATTCTGAGATAAGACCAGGCCGGTGTGAAGGTCACATGACTCAGTTCTGCTGCAAAATAAGGTTTTCCAGTTCATCTGCAGAGCGCAATAAAAACGCGGCTGATTCTCGGTACCCTGCCACAAGCTGCCTCACTGCATTTATTTCAGTCGGACTCAGCTGGGGTCTGGAGCTGGAACTACTGGAGGATCCAGAGCTGGTTGCTAACTGCCTCTTCATACTGAGATCTGTTGGACCTGCAGACAGCAAAGGGAAAGAAAAGAAGCTTCAGATCTGCTGCCAGAGACATTTCACATTGCAAATACAAATGCAGAGTAGTAGGATCTGCTCTCACATGAGTGCAAATAGCAGAAATAAACAGAAATAAACAATAAACAATAAACAATAATTGTTCTGTTGCCTTGATAGGAATCACAGCAATTTGTATTTATGTATCACAGACCCCACTTACAGAACATGAGGGGCAAGTCCACTGCCAGCAGAAAATTACCCTCCAGGGGCATATTCCAACAAGTGTGAGCCCCTTGCACCCCAAACCCTGCCCTGGGATCTGACAATGGTGATCAGACAGAAGGATCATCTCCTGTGCCTCCCCCCAGCTCCACCTGCCATCGTAGACTTCATGGCAATATGCACACTTGCAATTTCTATCACAGAAAATCCAACTTATATTCTCTAGACAGCTATTTTCACATTTTATGCTTCAATCAGCATGTGGCCAGATTGAATCCCTTGCAGACGCAGATAAATGGTCATCCACATGACTTGCCTGACGCTGTCTGATCACTTACATAAATAGCTGCTCATGAATGAGATTAGGCTGGTGACAATCTGGCTGCCACAGTGAGGAGCACACTATCATCTGTGAGGGCTGCATACAGCTGGCAACACATTGCAAGGATCTTGTAAGGCCAGAACACTGACAAGAGATTCTGCAGCAATCACCATGCTGTTGTATTGGCAGCTCACAGCAATATGCTTAGCACTTTTCTTCAAAAAATATTCTCAGGACTGTGAACAGTTCATATAGAAGACAGCATTCCTGAGGGCAGCCTGAAGGTTACTGTGATTGGCAAAACATCTGCCATCATGAATTTTGGCTTTGTGTGGAATTTCTCTGGTTGTTTGATCAGTTATTAACCAGCTAAGACACATGGTGCTTTAATTAAGTGTTTGGAATTTCCACTCAACACATTTTTCTTCCTAGAGTGTAAACTTGAACAGGTAGAATGGGACTGAGGACTTTTTTGGATATATATAGAAGGATGCAGATGGCCACTATACCTGTTAAACAGTATATTCTGTGCAAATCTGGGACAGACTGTTCTCTCATTTTGGCAATGTAAAAAATCTATACTTTCTGCAGAAGATCAGAGTAGCCTGACCCTAATCTTAACACTCTCCTGGAAACTGGGATCAAGCTATCCAAAGCAATGTATCTTACTTTCCTATGAGAAAAATGTCACTCTTCAATTTGATCAGGACAATATATGTCAATACCAAGGTTTTCCAGCAAAGAATGGAATAATTTTAAAATTTAGCATATTCAACTGTAGAACACAGAATACACTAATTCATACTCTGGAGGTTCTCCTAAATAATCCCGCAAAATGTTTAAGATTCAAAGACACAGACTCGCAATAGTAAGTACTAATGGAAAAAGATGCCTGATTTCCAGAAGCTGAAGATCTGATCATAAATCTTATTTAATTTTTCTTTCTTATATGTCTGTGTAGAGGTACAGGTGAGACCACAAAAAATGCCATATCCCCACAAAAATTGAAGTTAACGAAAAATCTCCCCTTCAGTGAATAAAAGCAAAGTTTGGGCTATGAACAGAAACTACTCAAACTGAAAGGGTCCTATTAGATCTGATTTCCTACTACACAACTAGCACTTAGCCTCACAACTTGTATTATCTGGTTTTACACTGGTATAAATGAACTGACTCTTAAATGTCTTCCAGTGTACAAAGGATAAATTAAGCACAATTAGCTCCGCGAATTTGTTTCAGTGTGACCACACACTGCAGGAAAATTATGACTGTGAAGAAGCTCAGAGGATATTTTAAAATAAAATCTTAACCTAGCACAGGGAAGAATGGTATACCAATCATAATGCAAGTTGGGCTGAATGGTTGTAAGAAGCCATTAAAGGCTTCTGTATTTATTTATAGTGAAAATTATATTCTGTATTATTTATAGTGAAAAAGTTGCCACTGACATATTGAAGGCATTGTGCTCCATATGAACCTACCTTAACTTTTATGTTCTCTCTTTGACTTTCATTCATGTGACTGCCAAACACACACACACACACACACACACAATATCTGGCAGAATATTCTGCAGCAGAGCACCTCATTTTATGAAATGTAACTGAAGGGTTTTTCTCATTGGTAATCCAGATTTTAAGTGACAGAATAGGGTATCAGTTTATGTCACTCATAAGTAAATTATACATGGAAATGTGCTTGCTCATACCTCTCAGGTTTTCCTTGCACAAACTGATGGAACTTACACAAACTGATTTCCTTTCACTGCTCTGAAAGGAAAATTAGAAGACCAGATGTCCATCATGCACAAATCAGTGTAAGTCCTCACAAGTCTATAGGGTCACAGTTATTTACATAGTCTGAAGATCTGGCTGGCTCTGTATTCCTAGATGTCTGGATGAACTTTCACAAAGAAAGTTCTTTAATTCTTCAGAATATTTATCTTTGCATTCTAACGGTACTGGAAAAAGCTGGATGGCAGTCTGCATAAACAGGTGACAATGACATCCCAAAAATCTTGGTCTGGGAGATTTCTGTTGTGTCAGAGCTTTTGTATGCAAAGAAAATAAGATATCTCAAATTTTAACATACCCAGCTTCTTCACACTGCTTGGTGGGTTCATTTATTTTTTTTTCTATTTACTAGTAAAATGGGATTTTACTTCATTCCCCAACTCCTGCCTTGTACTAAACAACTCACAGTGCTGTCCTCCTTCCTCCTTAAAGAAAACTCCCCTGAGGAAAAAACCAAAGGAATATACACACTGAGAAAATTTTCATAGCTGTGATTTTGGGACAGTGAGAATACCCATGCCTATTCAGGAAGGGAAGCTGGCAGAGAACTGAATAGAAAAAAACAAACAAACAAACCATGTTTCATGTGGAGGTAAAGATTTTAGCTCTTTTAATTATGTTATGTGACCCCTACATCTCACCTCTAAAGCTTACCTATGACAGCCCAAGCTTTATATCTGGGAAAACACCTCACTCCGAGATTAGTTCCAGGATGTGTTATATTGGCCTCAGCTTTTAATAGCTATGACAGACACTCACTGGCAGTAATAGGGATTCTCAAATATTGGCCAGGCTGCTAAATACTAAAATACTATAATTTATTTGTAGCTTCATCAGTCATATCTTGTCATCTGAAAACTAAGGAATAAGTGTAACCTATAAGTGCATTCTTGTACTGTAGATTTTTCCTGTGTAATTTTATGCAAATCAGCTATTGAAACATGGAAACCTAAACCTTACTCATACCTACCATATCTCTTTAATCAGAAAAATAAATCACAGCATTCTGAAGGCTGATAATTGCTGTTTAAGGACACTTCATGTACATCTGTCTCCAGAAGCCATCACTGCAGGTTACTAGATCTGGAAAAAGCTGAACAGTTCACCATCATGTCTTTTAATAACTATCATTACTATTCTTTAGTGTATTTAACATTATTTATTAAACTGCCAGTCCTCACAGGAACAAGAAAGTGTATACTTGTTTAAAGGGAAATCTGAATATTTTTGCAATGAATTTTGCAGTGTCAGGTTGCTCCAAGATGTTACTGCACATTTTAGCATACTGCTTCCTATTCTGGATTGCTTCAGGACTATAAAAAATCTTGATTGCAAACATTATCAGGTTCCACAATGTCTGTTGAGTAAGCAAAGATTAAGCATATATCACAGAGATTAAGACAGGAGACTTATTTCCAGTTTTTTCTTTCTCTTAGTGCATATTGCCATAACAAAAAATTGTCACCTTACATGTTTTTATATCAGCACAACATCTCACAAGCAGTGCATTAAACGAATTGCTGAGACAGACCCTTTCTTTTATACTCTTTCAGAAGACTAAAATATCGCTCCTCTGCCTCTTGTTTAGGCCATCTGATCTACACTTTAAGATGGGAATATTTTTGATTTACTATCTCTGTCCAGTTACATTGACCTAATTTCCCCTGTGCAATTGTTCTTGTTGGAACCACATCAGGCTGAATATGAAAACTCTAAAAACCTGCTCTTCACGTGCTAGACAAACATTTATCAAATTAGCTGCTAGAAATGTCTGCCACTAAATACACTAAGGAACAAATGGCTTTTTCTGTAAATTACAAGACTTTATTGGAACTAGTTATTGCCTCATGCACTGCTCATTACCAATGTAATTTATATAAAATTCCAAAATATGGGTCAGATGTAGATGTGTTGATAGTGATTGCTTAGACACTATCAACTGTCTCAGCAAAATTCCCTTAAGAATTGTATGTTGTCACTGGGTAGCTACCAATCTAATAATTAACAACTACTGAAAGAATAATAAATGTGTCAGTGACTCTCAGAATGATTATCACTATTGTAGATAATAATGGAAATAAAAAAATAATTTTTAAAAGCTTTATGTGCTTAAGCATCTACATGTTCATTAATAGTTAAGCAACCTTTTTCATCACTGATAATGCAAAAAGCAGGGACACTTATTTAGAGAAAAATACACTTGCCAATGCTTTGAAATCTCTTGTGTGTATTATCTTTTCTATTGCACCTATTCTCCTCTCCCATTTTTTCCTCATGAGTGGCTTTAGAGGACAGGTTGGACTACATTCTTATATACTCCAATAAAAATAAACAGAAAAAACCACATCAAGGAATGCTACCTTTTATTTCCAAATCAGATGTATTTATTGTAAAAAGAATGCTTTGTTGTGATATTACGTATCTGTCAATGCTTCTTTTTCTCCTGCCTTCAAACATAGAGCAGATGTGCCTAAAAGTATTATTTCAAGTGCCAGGAGAAATCAAGAAAACATGGACTAATGAATTGGGCCTTTTAAGCTTCTTTCTCCCTTCTACACCTCTCCCTCTGGAAGACACATCTTTGCTACTTTAGACAGCAGGAAAATATGCTGTCTTGCCTGAGGAAAGTGATATGAAAAACACAGAAATGCCTACAGCCATCATTTATTTTCAGTGATCAGGAAACAGTAGTCTGTGATTCAGTGATTATGTGAGATCCTTTCTATCCACCACAGGTGATTAATTATGTGGTATATACTGTGTTGCCTTAACAGTTGTCACCTCAGCTTTGCACAGAGGCAGGAAAGTAGGATACTGCCCAGTACATCCACAGACATTCCATTTCCATCCCTGTGGTGGGAATGGAGTAGTACTTGCCTGTGCCACATATCTGACAATCTGAAGAGGATGAGGAAGGAGGAAGAGGAATGTGGGGAAGGTCTTAACAGAAAATTCAGCCAGCATTTTTCAGCAAAAAATTCCCCTTTGCTGAAATATAGGTCAAACCATTTAACTTCTGCCAACTCCACCTTTTGGGTTTCTAAACGGGATTAAGCATACTGTCCCAGGTTCCTAACTCTATCACTCTTGATTTGTTTCTTCATGCTCCAGGCTCTGTGTTAGAGACAAACTATGTTCTCTTTCCCTTCTCTCCACTTTGATGTCATCAGGGTAGCGCTGTGAATACAAAAGACTGTGCAAGAGTAGAAGTATAAAGAACACCTGGAGGGAGGAATCACAGCAAAAACCCCATTCAACCCCTACATCCTGGCTAGCCAACCTGTGTGTAACCCACTCAGCATTTTAAAAACTAGCTACATATTGGATATTCTCATCTGCTGGGTTTTTCCCCCCAGTTTGTCACCAAGAATATCACCAAGTTTATCACCAAGTTCATCACCAAGTCTATCAATCATGCAAGTGCCAAGATTTTACAGAAGGCTATAGCTTGACCAAATTTTTGGATGGGGAAAGGAGGCACCTTCCCTGCTGCCTCATGAACAACTGGACAGGAGTGCTCAGTACTCCTCTCCCTGCTGATCATGCTGCTCCATGTCCTCTCCATGGTCCTGCTGATCCTTGGAGCACTCGCTCTGGGAGATTCCCCAGTTACTCTGCTGCCTTCAGCAGGGTTGCATCACCTGGAGGACCAGAACCAGAAGGACCAGGAAGGCTGACTGGCACATGGGTAAGAGCCTGGCTAAAGCAGGGAACAGGTGGGAGAGTATAGCCTCTGGAAGGGAGCAGCAGGGAGGGGTGAGCAGGACCAGGATTTGCCGTGGTGGGAACATGATGGGATTCAGCCCAAGAACTCACCTGAGCTGGAAGGGGACTGGACGTTCGTGGTGCCTGGGATGCAGTGCTGAGTTGTGGCTGTGGTGGAGGTAGGCTGTAGATCTGTGGAGAGAAATGGAGACACAACATTTTGTCTTACTATGACATGAGGGCATATGCTTCATGGCCGGCCCAACACTGGGTCTGAAACATTCTCTTTCTACACGCACAGTAGGAATTGATTGACATTTCTGGCTAGAAAAATCAAACAATGATGCAGAAGAAGCAGCCCCAAATCACCTCCAAGCAACCCAGCTATGGTAGAAGAAACACATTCCATAACCCTTAGAGAAAATGGACTTCAGGAAATGAAGCAGCTGTGAAGACCACGACTCCAAGGAGCCCAACATGACTTCAGAGAGTGCTGACAGTCATCAGGAGAGGCCAGACAGCAACCCACTGGACTGAAGTACACGGGGAGACAAGTCAACCCCACTCTGTCAGGAGATGCTCAGCATACATGCAGGAGCTTCAACAGCTCCTGGTGGTATGAAGAGATTTTGCTCCCAACATTATCTCCTGTCCTCACCCTCGTGCCCTCAAGCTGGACATTTTCCATGCTCAGTCCAGGAATGATAGAGCTGAAGCCTTTGTGGCTGGCTAAGAGCTGGCAGGCAAATTTGTTTACATTCATTGAGCTACTGCACCTTGGAGGTTCTCTATTCAGTTCTGTAACTGGAACTGCATTAGCCTTAAAGAAAGAGAGCTGTGGAAACCCACCCTTCTCAAAGAGTAGCTCTCCTTTACCACCTAAATGAATCAAACACAACATGACCAAAGGCTTCTCCCCAGCCCATGTACAGGTTGACAGGGACTCTGTCAACCCACAGATTGGTTGGTGGACGTTTCCAGACAAGCTGGATTGGCCTAAAAAGTTTAAAAGAAGGGAGAAAGATGCTTTGGTGCTGTAAGACCAAGCCTTTTCCTCCTGTGTTTTTTTGCCAGTCCCTAATTAAAGGAGGGGTCATTGCACAAGCTGCTACATTCTGTTTGCTCACATTGAGCTGTTTCATGAAGGCTTGCCCCATGCAGTTGTGTGAGGAGCTAATTATGGCTCTGTAATTAGCCATGTGGAAGGACAGACCTCCCCATGTGGAGGAAAGCCCTACAACAGCAGGCAGAGAGAGGTCCCTGAGCCAGAGCCACCAAACAGTTGGGCGAACAGATAGCTAAGTCTGTAAGGTCAGAGTAAGGATTAACTTTATATGGAGGAAATAGCCAAATCAAATGAGTCACAGAATACAAACTACATACATCAGCTGGACTACTAGACAGAGAGTTAATTGGGCATTAATTATTATATTACTGTGGGGGAAGGTCTAGAAATAGGTAATCAAGCAGTGAGTTTTAGATAGCTATCACAGCTACTGCAGCTTCTTTTTTTCTTTCTGTTTTAGCAGATACAAAAAAACACACCGTATTTGTTTGTACACACATTCTGACTGAGGTGCATATTTGTTTTTACACTAAGAGAACATCTGTAAACGTGACAAGAACATTTGATAGGTTTCTATGTTGAAAACAAACTGCATTTTAAAACTAGTTTTTAGCTCCTGAAAACAATTCCCAAGTAAATATCCTGTTCTCCAGAGAAGTGTCTCATTAACCATTTTAACTACCTTGCATATGTTTGGAACAAGAGCCCTTGAAGCAGCGTAATGACTGCAAACAAGGGTCCCATAAGGTCTGCCAGGAGGGCAATGGTTACCCCTGCCAACTGCAACTCCAACCACTCCTCTTGGATCATCAATGGACACATCAGCGAGGACTGACAGATCTCACTGGCCTCCGAGTCCTCCCACTTCTCCTGTGGGGAATCAGCCACCAGAGCCAGAGCAATTTATCCTTAATATCCAAGAGATAATGAGGTTGGCTCCTGGTTGGTTTTGTGTCAATGAGACTAAGGAATGGACAGAGTCACCTTTCCACAACTTTCCTAATGATTTTCCTGAAATGGCAAGTGGATCACAAATCACCAACCTAACTAGACTGTCAGCAACAACAACTGGTTTCCAATTCCTGGCATACAAAGACTTTTGGTTCCCAGAGTTATGGACTTTGGCTCGTGTAGGATCCCTACAGAGAAGGACACCTTTGCACAGCCTTCCAACTGTGCACGACAATATGGGAGAAGTGCAATGCCTTACTGGTCTTTCAGAGTAAAAAAGCATACAGACAAAATTGTCCAGTGCAAGTAGGGAAAGGCAAGGAAGAAGAAATGGTTGAGCATATGTCTGTATACAAACCTGTCTTGAGCTTTAATTGTGAAAAAAAAACCACTGGAGTCCTCTATGTTAAAGGCACAAAGAAGATGTGGCTGCTAATCAGAAGGCAAGACAAATTGATGGCATTTAATTTGTACATCGTGTTTTAAAATTGCACGCTGAAGCAACCTAGAATATTTTTGCCTTAACTCCACAATTCACTGCAAAATGGGAGTTATGAAAATGTATCCTATTACAAGAGGTTTGAAGGGAAAAACAGGTACACAAAACAGTTGTGATTGCTCACAGTTTAGGATTATATAAACCAGGACAATATTGATGGCTTTTGCTGACAAATAACACATGGGGAGCTTAATCCTAGTCTTAGTTGGGTAAAAGGGCAAATGCCAACTGTTTTCAGTGGGAATGGGTTCATCTCCTCTCTGGACATAATGTAAAAGACAACTTTAAAGTTCTTGTGCCTTTTCACAAAAAAACCCAAGATTTCCATGGCTTGTCTTACTCTTATGAAAATATTTGATCAGAGACCATATTCAGAGCTTCAGATGTGCTCTTCATGTGTATGGAAACAATTGTAGTCATCATTCACTCTGAGTCAAAGACTTTTGACAACTAAGGTATTATTTATTTAAAGACTTTTGAAAACTTAGCACAAACCATCCACAGACGTTTGAGAATTTTACAGGCAGGGGGTGAGGAAGAAGATGTGACTGAAGGTCTCCAGCACACCACATTCCAATAACTCTTTGCAGGCTGCAGCCCTGATAGCATTTTGAAAATTGCTGAGTATGCCGAATGTAAAGGCTGTAGCTGAGCAATTATCATCCAGCCTAAATCACCTCCCTACCTGAACTGGCACTCTCGTCAGACAGAGAGGGATCAGCCAGGGTAAAACCACAGGGGTTTCTCCATCCTCTGAGACATTTCTTTAAATACAGTCCTAGGAGTCAATAAAACCTCAGGCTTCCAGAGTAATCACATTTGTCTGACAGAGAGACAATACCCTTTTTATCAGAAGGGTATTACTCTGCATTTGTAGAAAATAAATATAAGGGATATTTCCAAACAAATACTACAATTTGCTTACATTTTTTTTTGTTATAAAAGCATGCCAATGTAAAAAGAAAGGAATGTTGTCTAAATAAATGACACTACTTGTTTTTTGCAGAGGGACATACAACCTCATGGTGACGCATATTTACCTTATCATTTTTAGTGTAGGGTATAAATGAATATGCTGATTTCTCATTTAACACTTTGTATGCCAGATCCTTATCTGCAGTAAATTAAAGTAGCTGGTAAGAACATGTGACCAATCTATGTCAATTCATTTGTATTACGAAATATGGAGTTGAGTGTTTTGAAACTTGAGACAAAAAATATACTAAGGGCCTTATTTTGTGATCAGTATAGGAGAGGACAGTAATGATAAGGCCCTACAAAGTTATGCAAACCTACTGAATATCTAACTCGGCTTTTTTTTTCACTCCGCTTTGTTAGAGGCTTATGGTTCAGTCTTGCCCTATTGTGTGTTAGTCCCTTGATACTGAAAAGAGACTAGCATGCAGGGAACAAGTATTTTGCTCAGCAGTAGCTGTTTGCAGGATTGTGCTCCTGCTCATTATATGATAATAGCCTATGGATATTGAACCCCACAGACTGGCTTTCTATACGGCAGGGGGAAATACACATCCACACGTACACACACAGGCACAGTTTGTAAGGAAACTCACCACTGCTAGAAGCATCATTGAGATTGAGCAGCCCACCTCCGAGCCCTCTGTAACTATGGTAACTGTAGGTCCCATTGCCGTTGATGTACAACACCTCCTGCGTGCTGGAAACAGCTGATGTTGAGTAAGTGACCTGGGCTGGCTCCTGTTTGCACTGCTTGTCAGCTGGAGCAGCCTCATCCTGCACAAAAACAAGAAAAGGTTTGGAATTATAGTTACATTTCACCTTGCATGTGAAAGTCTTTTCCATCATTAAGATTCTACATCTATTGTTTTCACAAACATGTTAAAGGAATGCATGTTAAACAAGCACAGAAGTTTCTGATTGACCAAATATTAGCACAAAAGAAACAATGGAAACAAGCAAGAATACAGGTTTCTTAAAAATCTGAGAATATTCATTTATTTGTGCCCCGCAAACCAACCATACTGTTTCTCAAAGGAGAACATATACCCTCTCACCCTGAAGAGCTCACAGACGTCTTCAAAACCCAACTCCGTCCAGAAATAGTGGGAAAGGATAGGAAATAGCCATTTCCTGAGTACCAGAGTGACTCTTACAAGTCAGAGAATCATATATTTCTTGATAAAATAAGCCAATACAGAATGCACCATCTACTTATTTTGATGTATCAGTCTCAGAAGTGACAGAAGGAATAGAGGAATGGAATAAAACTGCATTCCTACTCTTGGAGAAGTCTGAGTGTCCTTCCACATAAAGGCCATAAAGTAGGGATGCCTCCACAAAATACTGTTATCTGTGTAAGAGCAATGCCTGTTTGTACACCATGAGTTTTCCCCAAAGCTTCCTATTTGCCTCTTTGATGATTGTATAATATTTAACAGAATTTAGCACAACAGCCCTTCAATTTTCCCTGAAAGGAGATGTTTCAGGTGAAAGTTTATTATTCCTCATCTGTACTTACTGTATCTACTGCTTAGAATACCTCACCTCCACTCATGATCACAGAATGCCACAGTAGCAACTTTATTAATGACAGAGGTGAAATAATAAAAAGCATTAAGAGAAGATTTAATGCATTTTAGTAGTTGGACACAAGGAAAACTATCAATGTGTGACTGCTCATCTTGCCACAGAGACCTCAGTGACACAAAATCTGATTTAGTCTGTATGTATTTGAACATTTTCTTTGTTTCTTGACTTTTTAATGGGTTTGATTTTGCACTCTCATCTGATGAAAACATATATCAGTGTTTTCACATAAAATGGATCTATGGAAGTTTTGTTTTTAAATAACTTTTTCAGAGTAGTCAACTAAAAAAAGATCTGCTAAAATTACCTCCCGTTTGTGTAAGATTTTTGTCTATTTTATGCATCTCTCCTCTGCACAACCCTTTTATGGTTCAGAAATATATCAAACTTATTAAGAATTCTAGAAAATATCTGAAACCTTACCGTTTTTACCTAGAGAGATCAAATAATTCAGTGTCCAGTCTCTGTGTTGAAGTAAAAAAGGCTGTGAATCTTGCATGCATTAGGAGCAGTCAAAAAGATGCTATCAACTTTTCTTAGATGAAGACATCTGTGTCTTGCAGGTATTTATTGGTGAAAGAGACTTCCACTGAAGCACAACTGAGATAACTCAGGAGAAGGGATATATATACTATTAACAGAAGTTTTAATATTTAATAGGGAACACTGAACCATCAGACAATTAATTCCATAAACAATAAGAATGGGGCCTCTTGGGCAGTAATACGAGCTAAGGCAAAACTACGTTTTTAAGAGAGTTGGCCAAAGTGGTGTCTCCTAAGCATTTTCTTAAGTAATAATAATCTTAAACAAACGGCCAGAATTGCAATGTATTTTTTGCCAGGAATTCAACTTTAATATAATTTACCTTTTATCTCCAAAAAATCATTGATGTCTCTCATGAGAGAAAATATATTATTTTCTCAGAGAATATTCATAAGCTACACAGTAAAGTTCTATCTTGGCAACACAGCTTAACTCATCGTCCAAAATTTTAACACTCTTAAGACTCAGATGTTCAGCCTCCTTATGTCTAAAACTAAATGATACTTCCTGCCATAGACTCACTCACTCAGAGCATCTTTTTTTTTTCACAGAGCAGAACTTCTGCAAAACTATCAAGGACTACACTGTGTTCAAGGGGCACAGTGCAAACAGAACTAACTCTAGAGCTAAGCAGAGTGTCTCGGGATTGGTCTCCTTATCCTCGCTGTCTGGAAGGCACAGATTTGCCATCCCTGGATTTACATGTCCTCCAGAGCCCCTCTAGTCAGGGCACGGAAGCCCTGACTGGAAGCCTCTTGCAGAGCAGATGCACTGAGCTCCTGGCAAAGCCCAGGATGCAGAGCCTGGCTGGAGGATGCAGCAGGGGTGCTTGGTGCACCTTGGTGCACACCAGCCCACGTGTTCTGGAGCGCACACCCAAAAAGTGGGAGACCAGAGTTCTGGCTACTTGTCACAGTACATGGTGAAGAGGCGGAAAAATTGGGATGCAGGGTCTCTGCTGGCTGTGGTGAGGAGGGGACCTGAACTCAGAGCTGCCATCTCCTAGCAACCAGGCTCCAAGCAAAACTGTGGTGGGAGTCGTCTCTGAAGCTGTGCCACTGTGGGGAAGGAATGTACAATTCACAGGGCTACAGAGACAGCACACGAAAAGGGAGCGTGACTCAGTTCCCTCTCAGCAGTGCTGCCCTGGGAGGCTCCTTTCCAGCTACTCCCTAATACAGGCAGCTCTGAGGTCAGAAATCCAAGTTTGGAGCTGTGCTACTGAAGGGGGATCTTTGTACAGAACTAATCATAGCCCTATAAAACAGTGTGACATGCCATGGGATGGGGTTTGATGTGGAGTCTGGGTACTCCAGTGGGGAAGGCATTCTCAGGGAGGCTTCAGAAGTTGATGATGATGCTGAGACCAGGACTCCTGGTTCTGCATATGAACTCTCTTGGCCACTATGCAAAAGGAGGCTTCCTCTAAATATTATACATCTCTTTAAAGACCACACTGATCACCTGTCCCTAAATTATTAATAAGTTGCCATACAGTTCAGATATTAAATCTGATCCTTAATTGTTTACCTCAGTCTTCATGATAACTACACACAGAAATAGGGCAGGATTTTTGTCAAGCTTTTTCTGAGCAGGCTCAGGTGTCAGCCCTACTGGTAGGATTATGAACCATTAGCCTGGTCCCAGGGGCTTAGATATTGGCGTTCATACATTCCCCTGGGATTTAAGCATTTTTTTGCAAATGTTTTGTACTTCAAAAGGCAAAGTTGTGCCAGTTTTCCTTGCCACCATACCAAGAATAAAGAAGCCAGTCTCTTTTTTCTTGGGAACAGAGAATATGAATATCCTATTTACTTTTGTATAACTGAGATTTATTCTTCATAGATTCATTCTCTTTATTTTTTTCACCTGAAATACCTTTGATTCTAAAGTAATGTAAAAATTAAATGTATTGTTGTTCCACTGAGAACTGAGGTCTTTGAAATATTCTTTGTTATTCAGCATCTCCTGGTTTTCCCTATATAATATTTACATTGAAAAGGCTTATTTATTTAAAATTTTATTTTATTAAATAATTTCAAGGCAATCACTAGCAATTAACTGTTTTGTGACATGTTTGACCCAACTACCTGGAACATACACTGTTGTCATCATAACAATATCCTAAACTTCTGAAGTATTAACTAACCATTTTTGAAGTATTTATAATTTACCTTTAATAAGAAGTATGACCAAGGTCAGATAAAACATTTGTTCACCTAGAATTTGACTCATACTATCTTAATTTAGTATATGGCAAAGGAAATAAATCATCCCTCTAACAATATTTCTCTTCTTTTGGAGAGAAATTTATTTTGGAGGAGAAGCCATTTAAGTCTTGAGCACATTATCTGCAAAATGATTAAAATCAGAATAGGAAAAATACTTCTTAGGTACAAAAGCATGCTAAAATAAGAACTTATCTGTTGGCTTGAAAAGAGGGAGTATGAAGTCTCCTTACCGTGATCCTCAACTTGATATATTTATGCTTCAGTCTTATGTCAAGCAAGGTCTGTACTGGGAGAACACATTTTTTCTCCACAAAAGAGTAGATAAAAAAATTTATTTGATTTTATTTTTAATCGGGGAAGCAATTTACTAACCCTCTAAGGACAGTACATCCTAAGAAAATTTTCCATGAGCTGTTGCATAACCTGTATATTTAAGAAACCCTTCTTTGCTCTGACCGATGCTCTGAGCAGCAAATGAATGGTTTACAGAGGAATCATCATCCACAGCAAGATGAGGTTGGTGCAGATTTTCAGGACTGTGGTACAAAGAGCAAGGCTCACTGGCAGTTCCCAGCCTCTTGCTCCCCTGTCAGCAGAGGCACAGCACACACAACTCTTTTCAAACAGTCTTCATGGAAGCATCTTAGCAGTGTCACTGATCCCTTCTGTTCCCAATCTCCTTTACCACCTCCAAAATAACACAAAAAAGCAATAGTTTGTTGAAACAGAAAGCCCTGGGAAATCTGTGCTACATTGAGTTTTGATCCCTTATACACACAGTGTCAGAAATTCAGTGTGCTCCAATTAAGAGAGAGCAGTACTATTGCCTTGGCTTCTCTATTAGCAACAGGCATTGCTAACAGGCAAATGTAAATCCCGACAGATTGTGTGCAGATCAACTCACATGGCCAGTGCTAGCTCACCACAGAGCTAACAAAACTCCTGCAAAAAGAGTAGAAATGATAATGTTCCAAAGCACAAAGATGGTGACACACAGAGAGCTCCTGCTTTCAATAATGCAGTGCTTCCCAGACTGACAAATCAATGACTCTGAGAAGAACAGGTTTTAACTGCCCCTATGTCAGCGTGTTTTTTGACCCATGAATTAGAAGAGACAGAAAGGCAAACATATTTTTGCCTCATATTTCTTGATACTGCCTTTTTTAATAAGCTAAACTGAAAAATATGGTTTGATTGTTGTTCTTGTCAATAAACACTTCTTTTAGAATACCACTTTGAGGATAGGAAAACTCAAATGCAGATAAGTATTCAAACAAACAGGCAAGCCTATTTGCATAGCGTTTTCCACTTTTTCAGCATAGGAAAAAAAATTCATTCACTTGAAAAAACAAAGCAGGCTTTCAATTTTTTTTTAGGTCTCAGTAGCTTCTAATATGGCTTTAGAAGAAG